AAAAATCGCCGTCGATAACATATAAAATATTTGGAAAGCCAAGAATCCGCTCAATCTGATGGTAACAATAAATCGTGATGTTACAGAGCGAACTCGAGAGTACGGGTAGTTTGAAAATGGTGCTCGTGATATTCAGGTAGAACTGTATCATTGATCGATCACGCAATAGGGATCAAATGTGTACAGTTTGGCAGTACTATAGAATGGCTTAAGTAGTTCGACTTGTCATCGGAAAGTCAGGATATTTTCAAGAATTTCGCTCTTGTACATTTCTTCTTATGCCGACTAAATTCACAACGCCTATTGAAATGGCGACCCTTCGTTCAAGAAGCACCGATAAAGGAGACAATTACTATAACCAATAATGATGAAATCGATGGAAGAAGGATTATTAAGACTGTTGTTAGTATTTGAGAATACCCGATAGTGAGCACCTTCTATCAACCGTTTGCTGATTAACTTATATTTCACATTTCTAGATGTCAACCAATGACCCATCACATCAGAGTAACTGTTGAGTTGATATGAATATTAAACAGAATAATGTAACACATTAGAAATCATTTATCAACGAAAACGAAACATCTTCACATTTTCATAATCCACTGAATGAAATGAGTTTTGTTTGTGTTTGTTGTTCGAATTTTAATTTCAGTTCAGAACAACTTGGCTCACGTATATCACTAATATTTATATTGATGAATGCGACTGACTGTTATAATTCGCATTTGAAAATCATTCAAGGTCAGTGAAACATATCTAAAATTACTCATATAACACATGAAAACAGATTTAAAAAAGTTGCTGATCTTTTGGACAGTGAAATAACATGACAAAATCAATTTCAAAGCGCGCATTCAACCATATTCGACTTCAACGCTATTTTCAATACGATTACCTCGGGTAGTGATTGCAGTCTGCTGGTTTTTAGTCTTTCGAGAAACATGCTAATGATTACTGAATAGTATGAAAAATGATCTATGATCTTCACGTGGTGATATTCGAATGCAGTAAGCCGAAGTCGAAGAAATGATTGCTTCATTAATTATTTTTATCAATTAACACAATTAAAATAATCCCACCCGTCTACAAAAATAGAGGAAATTTAATAGTCAAAACAAACATCTTATAATAAGGTGAATACAAACATACAAACACATATGTTTCATTATTCATTCAGTCATTACCAACGAATTACGAATACACTCAACTCTTTTTGGTTGTTCATACCGATAAGTTCAAATCACTCCCAAAATAATTCAACCTCAAGGGACAACCATAGCAGTAGTTCGCAACAGATAGACCAAGTAGCACTCGTTACGCTATCTAGAATGTGACGTAAAGCGAAACTATGGCAAACTTTTCAGTTTATATTCTCAACAGCGTTGCATAACTAAAAAGTTGGGCTTAACTCATGGCTTGCTTAAGAAAAGGAAATTTCTGGACGAAATGATAGTCGATTGTATAAATAGCATATTATCGGTAGAATTTTGCAACTGAAACATTTCCTTGTTCTGTTTTCAGTCGAATGGTATTATACATCCGTCTTAATGAAAGATAGTCAAAATCGTTATTACACACAAACAAAACACATTTGTACGTCACATACACATGAAAATAATTCATTCACAACATATCAGACACATAAAATGAACAGAAAGAATGAGAAATTGAAAATTATATCGAATTATAAATTACAGCAAAAATTATGGACAGTACAGGAACAATTCTCTTCTTTCGCCAGAAAAGATAACGGTGAGCAATAAATTTCAACCGAACATTCAGGAATACAATATAAAAGAAAAACACGAAAAGGAACTTTAGCAGATCAATTGGAGAGATGAAGGTGTAGGAAGAAAATTCTTTCCATGTTGTTATATCAAAGTAAACGGTTTTTTATGTGTCTTACGTCCAGTATAATCACCTGAAAATTAATCGAATATAAAGCCAAACACAAAAGCACCGACAATTTTCGAAAAGCGATTCATTTTCATGTTGCAAAAAAAAGTTTGTTACTAACAACTCATTCGAAGGTATTGCTTGATAATCAATTACTCTTTTGCAACTGTTTTCATAATTATCGCTACAGTTTCGGAATGACGATAATAAATGCTTTAAGCAATAAAGGAAACCTAATAACATCAAAAATAACATCTCATTCAGCTGCTTATTTTACTAATGAGGAGATTGAAACAC